TCTTTCTGGAAACTCTAGTGAAGCCTAATGAGACAGCGCTTCCCCAAGTCATTAGAAGCGTTCTTGTATCTGCTTGTTGAATGCCTTTAAAAGTGCCTGGCTTGTTTGTGCCTATGTTATTGATTAGTTTCTTTTGCTAATAGTAGTGTTACTTAGTTCTCTTGGCAGAATTCTTAGTCTATTTTTAGTTTACTTCATTTAGGTCATGTTTCACGTTGTTTTCTAGATTTATAGTTCTTTGATGACACGTTTGGCACAGTTTGTAGTGACCCTACTTGCTGTGCTAGCGATCGCGGGTTCGAGTCCCGCTGGTTGCATTCATTTGTGTGATGAACGCGAATGTTTGTACTCCAGTCATGGGTGTTTATGTTTATAATATGTATGTGTTTATAGTTATATATGTATACTGTATCAACTATCTGGTATCCATAACACAAGCCTCGTAGCTTACCATGGAACTAGATGGTGCTGTGTGTCTATGTCCCAACATATTTATTTATTTTATATAACTTCGTACTTACACAATATTATTGATATGAAAGGATTTTTCTTTTTCGGTTTGCCTTTAAACTGGATTGATTTATTTTTGAACAGATACAGATTACGCCAGAGAGTTTATTAAGAGATATTTTTTCGTGTCTATTATTTGTGTAATACAAAAAATAACTAATTATAATTTGCACTAGTATCCTAAAATGTTTTGTTTCTTGTACATTTGTTACATTTAAAATTTTACATTTTTTGCTTGAAAGATATAGATATATAATAGTAGTGATGAATGAATATAGTTACTCCTTACACATTTCTTCTCATTTCTTCGATGTAAAGACAGGACATGCCTGCAAAAGCATCAGTAGAGCCTTGGTGTTTTATTTTAAGCAGACTAATAACTCTAGTCAATACAAACATTATGCCTGTGAAAATACAAAAAATATGCTTGTGACAACTGAACCTATAACTTCCTGCATAGTACCTAAGATGTTTTCCATCGTCGATCATGTAATTTCAATTTATGTTTTAGCATATTTCACGTGAAGAAAATAAATAAGGTAATAGTAGCCAGTAGTGTATCATATCCCATATAATCTGTACAAGCTGTGACACCATAACTTACCATGGTTATGTTACTTTAGCCACACAGCCTGTGCCAAATATCGATAAGGAATAGCTATCATCTCATCGACTAGGTATTATGTTTTACACACGAGACTAACTACTTGAGAATGTTATATAGTAGGTGCGTTTTAACGTTTAGTATGAAATACAAGTCTTTGAATTTCTCGGCTTGTCTGTACTATAATATTTATGTATTATACATATAAACCTTCCTCTTGAATCACTGTATCTATTAAAAAAACGCATCAAAATCCGTTGCATAGTTTTAAAGAACTAAGCATACATAAGGACAGACAGATAGCGGGTAGCGACTTTGTTTTATACTATGTAGTGATTAAGACCTATGATTTATTAAGATTTTTTTTTAGTTTTTGTCAGATGGACTAATTTATTAATGATTAGGTTTTGCTTGACTTGGCTCGCTTGTGTACAAGTAACGTGCACATAAATCATAGGTGCATCGCTCTAAAGGCCCGTAGCGTGATGAAAGGCAGTCTATAAAGACTGGTAGCAATTAGCGTTCAAACACACAGAAAAAAGATATTATCTCTTTAGATTTATATGATTTGTATAATAGACTCTTTTTGTACTTGAATAATATGATATTTTTAACTGAACTGGAAAATGATACCAACTGTTAAATGAAAATATATGACTTTCATAATTAAATGAAAAGTGTTTAAACGTCGGATTCAAATGTTTCATGTTTAATATCTGCACTAATATAATAAAGAAGCAAGTTCGTTTGTTTAAAGGCGTTAGTCTCAGGAACTACTAATCCGATTTAAAAATTCATTTTGCTTTACATAGCCTGTTTATTGAGGAAGGCTATAGGCTATATATCATCATGCTACTACCCAAGGGAGCGAATCAGTAATCATAAATGTTACCAAATCGGGCAGAATACGTTATTGTAAAACTATATATATAGTATCTACACAGCGAACCTCGAGCGAAGAGAGTCGCTAGTTATGACATAAACTCAAAGAGAATGTGTCAGAAGAAAATACCCGTACTAATGTATAAATACTTTATATATTTGTATGGATATTTAACATAAATTTGGTCAAACTATAAATTATATGATAGAATCCAATACACTGCTTTTGCTAATTATAATTCATCAGTAATTATCTCTGTTATTGTTTTAAAGGCAAATAGGCCATTCAGAGTCACACAATTGAATTAAGTTTAATAACTATATATTATGGCCAATAACAGACATCCTAACTCCATACAACCACTCGTACTTTAGGAAATTCAAGTACAATGAAAACAAAACGTTCGTTAAAATTGGAAGTTCCGTAAATAGGGATAAAAACGTCAGTAACAAAAGAAGGGGTTGACCTCAATTTAAAGTGTATTCAAGATAACGTCGTAGATAACATTAATCAAAGCTCGTATCTTGTTGGTCCGGCAATTTTCTGGTCAGTGACCTTTTAATTTGCCACCTCGTAAAGTAATTTTTCACCCCGCTGATGTGTTACCGTAATCAATGAACTCGATGATGGGATGCCGATGGGAATGAGATGTATCTCTAATGTGTCGTATACATTAGGTTGACGACGTACCCTACACCTATTTGTATAATATTTATGTAGTAAATATATTAAGTAACAAATAATATTCTAACTTTTCTAGTGTGTAGGTTCAGACTAATAAACAATATAGACAAGAGTGTCATACAACTATATATGAAATCAAAAAATAATGATTTAAAACAGAATACAAATATTAACAGAATATTTATTACTACGATAAGTAAAAATAAATAAAAATGGCTAATGGATTTTACTATAATAAAGAAAAAAAAGCTAATATTATGCTGTCTCTCTTTCAAGGGGAAAAAACTTAATGATTAAATAATACAAAACTATATAATATTATTTTTATCACTCTTAAGTTGTTCTAAATAATTGTAAATTAACGATTAATACTTATAAAATTTTTCCTTATTCTTTGATGAAAGCAAAAGATCTGTATGGCAAAATCGAAAATAGTAGCATAAATAGCAGAACTCGCTACTATTTTGCCTTTGAAATTTATTTTGGCGGGCTCTGTCTATATAATTATTTGTGTATACCACGGTAATGTTACATACAGTATCCATCTTCATACAAAAGGTCGGAAATCGAGTTATACCTACGCGCGTCGCGTTCGGTATACACTCGGTAGACAACCGTGCGGGCTGCCACATCGTATAATTTGATACGAAAATTTTATAAGATGGTTATGTTATGTAACTTTTATAATTCGATACAAAAATAAACATTTTATTCCTCCCGTAAATTCGCTATTATGTCAAATAAAAAAGTATCGAGCATTCGTATGTTTTAAAAATAAAAACTAATTAATTAATTAAAGTATTTTTAATTAAACTTTTTATCCGAATGCGGATTCTTTATACTATTAAATTTAACAATAAAGCTTTTCGTATGTCTCAGTCGAGGTGCAAATATTTTTAAATCCCAAATTTATAAGGGTCACATACCACCCCTATAAATTTGAGATTTTTTAATTAAATCTACTAATAATATTTTTTAAATAAAATATATAATATTTGAAATCACAAAACTAGAAAGAAACTCAAGTAGGTAGATGAAATTAAAATACTGGTCGGTGGGCAGCCCTGTCGCGTGGGTACGTGCCACTCGGCTGTAGGTAATTATTTCAAAGACAGGCCCGAGTTGGAATACTGTATGCATTACATTACCGTGTGTATACTGTTATATAAATAAAAGAAGAGAACTGTTTATACACAACAAAGTTATTTTTTTTACATTTATTGGCATTACCATATTGTAGGACTAAATTAAAAATGTATCATTTATACATAAATTGACTAAGAAATCTGAAATGCTCAAAATAGTTAGCTTTATAGATCATTACTAGTGATTTAATCTTAGCTTTGGAACATTTTAAATCAGACGTAAAACGTTTAGATTTGTTTAATGACTGGTCTGACGAGCATCCGGCATTAGTAGATTATAATGAGCTGTAAATCATAGACACGTGATTTCAGTCCAACAAAAATACATTTATAGTCCAGTTAGTTGCTATAAAAACTGACACGGTTATAACCACTTTTAATTATACTCTGTGTAAAATTACGTAAGTTTTACTGTGCTTTTATTGAGTTGGTTTTATGTGGTTTGCTATAATTTGATTTCATTTGAGACATTTTATAGCTCTTACCTAATTTTGTTTTTTTGTTATTCGTTTATTGCTTATATAAAATATCTAGTTCATATATTTGTTTAAATAACTCACTCGACAGTCAATAGGAGGATAAGGTTTCCATTGTTCTTACGACGAAATCACATGATGTTATTTTCGTCATTAATATAGTAATTTAGATATTCTTACCAGTCTAATTAAGGCAAAATTATATAATATATCATTACTACGTAGAAATAATATCGATACTGGTGTATAACGAGAGGGATTACCTTGCCAAGGGAAAGGCGTGGGCATGAAATATTAAAGAAAAATAAAAATGAAAATTCTGTATATAAATTCCTATTCTGTTATTTGTCATTTAAATGCCTCTAATGTCACCAGGATAGCATTTCAATAAGCTCACAATATTTGTCATCGCACCCGTTACGCTGACATTTTGTTTTGACGCTCATCCAAACTAATTGGGCCTTGACTAATACCTTCACTAATAACGCTTATTTCTTTTTCAGATCTAAAATACCTATGGGATATTAAAAGATGGCTGTCATGGCGAGACGACGGCTACGGCATTCGTCACCGCGAAGCAGTTTCCGTTTGAATTTTGACCGTTCAAAATAGTTATTGAATAGATAGTGACGTTGTCGGTCGTGTTATTTAGTTATGTGATAGTGATAGTGATTCTAGTGAAGTGTAGTGTTGTGAAAATGTCGGAGGAGAGGTCGCGACGGTTGTCACAGATATTTGACCCGCTGTCAAGGTTTACGGACCACAGTGGCGCGGGCCAATCGTCTAGTACGCCGAATAGTCCGCGTTTGATGCCCAGGCGGTCGAGAGACCCACCGCCGCCACCACCTAGGTATAACAATAATTTTTTAGTCCTTTAACAATTTTTGTCTTGTATAATGTATGTTTTACAATTTTTATTTCAAAGAAAAACGGTCTGTGACGTTTTTTAAGTAATATTATAATTATGTCAAGGTTCTATACTTACATTAACATACGTATAACAGTCTCAGGCAATAATAATTGGTAGGTAGATATGGGTGTTTAAATAGAGAGTTTTTTATAAATTGTCCATTTATAGTGCTGAAGTCGCGTACAAAGGCTAGCACAAAATAATTATAAAAATTGCGAAGAAGTTAATTACTAAAAGTAGTTTTAATTTCTATCTAACGTAATTATAAAGAGAATTAGATCGTCTTTGCACACTTTGTGATCAAATTAGCATAGAAACAAGTTAGAAAACCTATTTCTTTCGAAGTCTAATGTGAAAAAAATGTTCAATATTTTAATTAAAAAAAAATTACTCTCGCACGAATAGTTCTTTGGACTACACTAATCATACAATTATAAATATCACTTTATGTTAAAAAAACGAGTATCTCATGTAATCTTAGGATTAAAATTGATTTAATTGAATATTTTATATCTAAACTACTGGTACTGCAACAAAAAAGTCTCATTAAAATTGGTCTATATTATTTATGTGAAACTGATACGGCAAGTAATAAAAAAGGAGATAGCCATTTTTCAAACTCCGACGAATTTAATTACAAAAAATTATATACAATAAAAATTAATTTAGTTATGTAAGTCATGTTACGTAAAAGTTAATATTTGCTTTAATCACATTTTCAACTGATAGCACCCACTATCATTAGTGTAGTTATGCATAATATAGCGGTAATTGCATCAGAGCGCAGATTGCTCGACTCGACGATTTCCCTTGCTTAGAGAAATCGACATGGTATAATATATTATGTAAATAAAAATTTATTACGATAGCATAATATGATAAAGATTTATTTATAAGTAAACTAGCGGACCCGACAGACGTCCTGTCTACACGTCTTTAATTTAAAAATTTCAAACTTTTTTTAATAATTTTTTTGATGAAAATGATTATTCAAATTGTGAATCTAAACCATTCCCAGATCCCCTTGAACACACACAAAAAATTTCATCAAAATCGGTCCAGTCGTTTGAGAGAAGTTCAGTGACATACACACTCACAGAAGAATTATATATATAAAGACTAGCATTGCCCGCGGCTCCGCCCGCGTTCAGATGACCAAAAACTAAATTCTTAGGTGTTACATATTAGTATACTCTTACATTGCAGTTTTTGTATTTTTCCTCAGAAATAAGATATTTTCCCGCGGTAAAAAGTATCCTAGGATCGCGCGCTACATCGCCCGGTTTATATAGCTTGAGCAGGCGGTCGAGCGATGCGGGGCAGAGGGGATGGACTCGCCGTAGGCATCTCAATGCTCGCCAAGCATTAAAAATGTTTCGCTACTAATTACTTCTAACAACGATATCTCAAAAACTATTCATCTGATTGATTTAGTGTAAAGAGCAATTTTAATCTGCATTAAATGACTAAGCTAACTAAAATATTCATTTGGATAAGGATTAATACCGAACTAAAGAAAATAACTTTGAAAATAACGTAATGTTTTTAATTAAAAATGTTAACATAAAAGTGGTTATTGTAAGTCAACCGTAAGAGATAGAGATATGCTATCGCGGACTTTTTTGTAGCATTTTTATAGATTTTGAATTCTCTAGTACATTACTTAACTGTATCTTTGCTAGTTTACGCGGCGTTCGCGTGGAAAGTTCCCATTTGGCGAGATTTTTTGCGACCTCTTCAACATTTGTCGCCGTATTTCAGCTAATTTACATAAAAGCATAATAAATTATATACCTAAACCTTCCTCAAGAATTACTCTTTCTATTGTTGAAAACCGTATAAAAATCCGTTCAGTAGTTTTCGAGTTTATCGCGTACAGACAGACAGGAGGACAGAAAGACGCGGCCGGGGGACTTATTTTTATAATAAGTACTAGCATTGCCCGCGGCTCCGCCCGCGTTCAGATGACCAAAAACTAAATTCTTAGGTGTTACATATTAGTATACTCTTACATTGCAGTTTTTGTATTTTTCCTCAGAAATAAGATATTTTCCCGCGGTAAAAAGTATCCTAGGATCGCGCGCTACATCGCCCGGTTTATATAGCTTGAGCAGGCGGTCGAGCGATGCGGGGCAGAGGGGATGGACTCGCCGTAGGCATCTCAATGCTCGCCAAGCATTAAAAATGTTTCGCTACTAATTACTTCTAACAACGATATCTCAAAAACTATTCATCTGATTGATTTAGTGTAAAGAGCAATTTTAATCTGCATTAAATGACTAAGCTAACTAAAATATTCATTTGGATAAGGATTAATACCGAACTAAAGAAAATAACTTTGAAAATAACGTAATGTTTTTAATTAAAAATGTTAACATAAAAGTGGTTATTGTAAGTCAACCGTAAGAGATAGAGATATGCTATCGCGGACTTTTTTGTAGCATTTTTATAGATTTTGAATTCTCTAGTACATTACTTAACTGTATCTTTGCTAGTTTACGCGGCGTTCGCGTGGAAAGTTCCCATTTGGCGAGATTTTTTGCGACCTCTTCAACATTTGTCGCCGTATTTCAGCTAATTTACATAAAAGCATAATAAATTATATACCTAAACCTTCCTCAAGAATTACTCTTTCTATTGTTGAAAACCGTATAAAAATCCGTTCAGTAGTTTTCGAGTTTATCGCGTTCAGACAGACAGGAGGACAGACAGGAGGACAGAAAGACGCGGCCGGGGGACTTATTTTTATAATAAGTATAGATAGATAAATATGTTTGGACATTAACACACAGCACCATCTAGTTCTATGGTAAGCTACGAGGCTTGTGTTATGGATACCAGATAGTTGATACACTACACATATATAACAAACACTTTCAATATATACATATTATAAATATAAACTTAAACACCCATGACTAGAGTACAAACATTCGTGCTCATCACATAAATGAATTCCCCCAGCGGGACTCCAACCCGCGACCGCTGGCACAACAAGTCAGAGTCACTACAAACTGAGCCGTATCGTCTAAATCTAAAAGTAAATGAAAGTTAGCTACGTAGATTTTAAACTTCATTATTAATTTATATCGCACTCGTGGTCCGGTCCGGTCGCGGTATATGAGGTACATCCCACGCGTTATGTAACATTTTTCTATTTATTGTATAGAAGGTTATAGATATAATATCATAAAAAGTAGCGTAAATTATTAAGGGATTAGTAGCTTTATATTCGTAAAAGAAATTTCCTAATCGCATCTGTATTTCCATTATTATTCCATTTTAATCTTACAAACTTTATTTTTGTATAACATAAGTACAGTGTGTATATATGTATATATCTGACAAGCCAGTGATAGCCCAGCGGCAGCGCGCTAGCTCGAGTGTGACGGGTTAAATACCGGGTGTCGAGTCTCTTTCTTACATTATCATATGTGGATCATTTCCAACATACGAGTACTTGTCTTACGGTGAAGAAAACGAAAAAAAGAGAAAACTTGCATGTCTGAGAGAATCTAGCAAGTTTTTGTAAGACATTCGAGGTTGATTATGGCCAGATTCCCCTTGTATTGAAGGCATTTCCGTACCCAGCAGTGAGATATTCAAAAGGGCTACTCGTACATACATACAGATATCTGACAACTATTATAAATGCGAACGTTTATATGTTTGTTGCATCTTCACGCTAAAACAGCTGGACGGATTTGGATGAAATTTTGTTCACGGATAAACTATGACCTGGAACAACTTTAATGCTACTGTCAATAAAATTTGTTCTTTTTTAGGTTTATTTGAACGATTTCGGTTAGTAGTAGATAGTAGTGAAGCTAACTTCGTTTGTAGTAGTGTCAAAAAAATTTTTTTTTTCGAGTACTTTTCCAGAACGATTTTTACTACATACATTCATTGTTTCGTTTGTAGTACCATTATTTCATTTGTAGTAACGTCAAATAAACCTAAAAAAGAACAATTTTTCCAAAGTCGGGTGCCAAGTTCACATAGCCCAATAAAATATTTTTACAAAAGGCACTATTTATATTTATCACTATCATCATTATCCATACTAATATTATAAATGTGAAAGTGTGTTTGTTTGTTTGTCTTTTTTTCACGTCGAAACGGCTGGTCGGATTTTCGTGATTTTTTGTGTGGAGATTTGTGGAGGGCTGGAGAATGACATAGGCTACTTTTTACCGCGGGAGATTATCTCTTTCCCATGGGAAAACACGTTATAATACAATGATACCTTTTTAGAGTTTTTTTTTGTAGTTTTAGCGCGAGCGAAGCCGCAGGTTCTGCTAGTATATTATAAAACAAAGTCCTCGCCAAGACTGTCTGCATGAACGCTATTAACTTAAAAACCCACGAACGGATTTTCATACGGTTTTCACTAATAAACGGAGTGATTCATGAGAAATATTTAGGTGTACCTATAACTCATTAAGGTTTTGTGTTAATTGGCTTAAATATGACGATGATTGTTGAAGGTGTCAGAAAAAATCATGCCAACTGAAAAAAAAATGTATTACGGAATTATTCCCCTTAAAAATTGTAAATTTTAAATTATAAATAATAATTATTTATTAATTGTAAATTAAAAATTGTAAATTGTAAACGTATTGAACTGTTGCAATGCTATTTTGTGTTTATAAGTAAATATACCTGTTCAATTTTCGAGGTAAATTATTCAAACAGACGCAGTATGACCATATAACATAATTACCGATCCGTTTCAATGCTATAACAATGTATGCAGTTTTCCAATCTAAATTAATGCATTCCACGTTGCGGTTCTGTTTGGAATGTTTTTTACTTACTTTTTATTTTTTTGAAATACTTTGAATTTTATTATTATATATTATTTATTATATAATTTTAGGTTTTATTAGTTCTTGAAACATTTTATAAATACTAAAAAGGTATTGCTAGCTAAAATACTAATTATAAGCGAATCACGCTTCATTCTTGTATTTTTAAGATATGAATAAAAATAGCAAAGCAAAAATCAATAGGTACATATGATTAAAATGATTTTATAATTGGTATGATTATGGTAATGATTATGGTTTCTCCAGAAACGTTCTGATTAAAATCAACATTTAAGATAATAGAAAGTCACGATTTTTTTTAAACAAGATACTTTTTATTGGGTAAGGGGACGTGTTAACGAAGACTATCTCAATTCTAAGACTTAGCAATCTAGTGTTTTAATCACGCTAATATAATTGATCACGCTATGGCATAAGAATAGCAAGTACCTTACACGTACGAATCTATTACTATTTACTAGGAAGTTGGCAAAAATTAGCATACTCTATATATATATTCTGTGACACAGCGTGAAATTGAAACAGGAATATGCCAAAAATATGGCTTTATGAAACTATATAAAAGGCATATTTAACATTAAATATGCAAATTAATCAGTAGAGAGTTGTGAACAATATTATTTTTAATCATTTATTTTATCAATCAGTCAGCGATCCACTAGCTATAACGACTGTTTACTTCATCTCATTATAACTGCATTTTAACGAGAAAATTATTTGTAAATTGAACTCGTTTGTGCTGGATTAATCGCGGATAATGTAGTTGAGCTCTCAATGAGTGATTGGTTGAGTAATCGCTTTTACACCATCTGGATACGACATAAGTACGAGTACGACACGATATGACATTGGGTTATGAATGTTTTTTAAAATACAATCTTCTTTTTCTATTTACTTTATTTATCGTCTCCAAAAATCATAATTAAGTTTAAAAGTATTTGTTAATTTGTAAAATTCTTACCAAAGTCAGTTTATATGAGATGGTGGATAGATAAAAATTGAAATATTAAATATGCGATTGCATACTAAAATTAAAATAGACATACTAAAATGGTACCTAAAACTTAAAGACTATTTTATAAGGACGGTTTTAACGATTAGCGTAGCTTTTACTGAAATTCCAAATTGAGGAAGCTAAATACACGTACCCATTAACATTTCATACTGTAACACTTAAAAGGCAAATACTTTGTGTATTTAATTGAACACTGCATACTGCATGCTCTAATAGCTAGAACGTACTGCTGCAGATTTGGTCATGGGTTCGAATCCCGGGTCAAGCAAAGATATTGGGGTTTATGGCCCTTGAAGAGCATGTAAAGCCATCAGTGTATTTGTGTTTGCGCACATATTTGTGTGCCATTATTGTATTAAAAATAATATGACATCTCATCGTATCATTCGCTCGAAGTTCCGCTCGCCTAAGTAGTTTATTTATGTATTCGCTTCTAACGGCAATAGAAAATTATAGTACATTTTCAAATGTATTGGTAGTTCCAGGAATAGATTCGTTCAAACAAATAAACAAAGCTCTTCTTATATAATATTAGTACCGTTTATATTGTAGAGTATAAGGTTATTAATAAACTTTAATTATAAGTGTACTTCCTAACAGAGCTGTTGCATTTAAAGTCTGCCACATAATCACGCCATACGAAATATATCATATAAAATTACGCGCGGATGAAATATGGACTATTTAAATTGATGAACCCTATCCCATATTAAAGCAGCGTTAATACGTTTTGCGGTTGCAAAATGCAGTTTAAAGAGATACTTTCCGATGTACGTGTACGCTATTTACCTGTATGATATTATTGATGTGATATAATACTTATAACAAAATTCGAGTATATTCTTTTGTGTATACTTCTTTGTCAATTGTGAAATTTTCATGATTTTTTTATATATACATGTACACCAGGGTTGTATTATTTATACATATAATAAAATTCTAAAGTCTAATCTGTACTTTAAATATTTTTTGGAAAATCTTATTGAAATAGTCATTATTACCGATACAGAGGCCGAATCTATAGTTTTTAGAATTTTTGTCTGTCTGTCTGTCTGTCTATCTGGGAATGCATCACGAGAAAACGACTGGACAGATATTAATTAAATTTGCTATGATGATAGCTGGTTATCCGGATCAACAGTTAGGATACTTCAACCTACGGAAAAATATCTTACCTCTGAGTTTATACAACCGTAAAAACGTACCAAGGGACGAACCCGAGCAGAGTGAGGGTGAGTTGCTAGTTACATAAAAGGCAATTTTGGAATAGATTATTAGCCTTTATACTTAGTAAAAGAAGAAATTGTACATTGAATATTTTATTGAAATTATTGTTCTGCATGAAGTGGCAAAGGACAGTATAAAATGTTTGTCTAAAGTCATCTTCGTATCACGTATCATCACCGTAGTGTATTTTAGACATGGTTTTTGGTTATCGAACGGCTGCGTAACGTCTACTGGCTATGAAATTGGTATGACGTCCTCGCCACACATCCCAATTGCTATGATGATAGCTGGTTATCCGGATCAACAGTTAGGATACTTCAACCTACGGAAAAAATATCTACCTCTGAGTTTATACAACCGTAAAAACGTACCAAGGGACGAACCCGAGTGAGTGAGATTTTGGTAGTTGCTAGTTACATAGAAGAAATTGTATTGAATATTTATTGAAATTATTGTTCTGCATGAAGTGGCAAAGGACAGTATAAAATGTTTTTTTTTTAGACATGGTTTTTGGTTATCGAACGGCTGCGTAACGTCTACTGGCTATGAAATTGGTATGACGTCCTCGCCCACAAATTGAAGGATTAAGTCGATCCCAATTTCCGTGTTATCAGATTGCAAATGTTGGTATCCGAATTGCTAATCCGTTGTTTGTATTCGCAGAGACGATGAATTTTCCAATTTTCTATTTTGATGTAAATTTGAATTAAGAGAAAGACTTCTGTGACCATCTGTGCAGGAGACATTATAGTGCACTAGACGTACGTACGACCAAACAAATACCAAAATTTATTTCTATATATAAATAATCATTAAAAATAAATCATCCACCAGATACCGTGGCAAATCACTAGTATAAATATGTACATAATGATTTCTCATATTAATACAGTCAAAGAAAAAGTTGTTAGAATATGCAAACTGAAGTGATTGACTTCTATTGAACTTAAAGTAGGAGCATTGAGAAAAAACTGAATCGACTTTGTTCATGCATTATTGACTTTAGATATTTACTAGAAATAATACATTTTTCTGGGATATTGTAATCATCCTTACTTCATTTGAAGTAAAATGTGTATAGGTATTCAGCCCTTTTAACGTCCCACTCCTGGGCACGGGCCTCCGTTCAATACGAGGGGAATCAGGACATAGTCCACCACACTGGCCAAGTGCGGATTGGCGGACTTCACATGTCTTTCGAAAACTTTCTAGGTTTTCTCAGACATGCAGGTTTCCTCACGATGTTTTCCTTCACCGTAAGGCAAGTGGTAATCAAGTTAGAAATGATTCGCACATTAAAATATCATAGGTGCGAGACCCGAAATTTGAACCCGCTTCACTCGGATTCCAAAGCGAGCGCGTTACCACTGGGCTACCACTGCCTTAAGTAATGTGTGTTGTGATATATTTTTTTGCTGTACTGAAGCTTCCTTTGCAGAAAAACAGACCTGCGACTTACCCTCGCTAAGTTAGGGCGCATCCCTGAGTGCCCAAAAGTAGTCTATGCATTACTCCAAGTTGTAGACTATCTGTTTGCTAAATTTCATCCAAATGCGTTGAGCGGAATAACAAATATACACATGTGTAAAACTTTCACTTATATTTTAATACTCCGTGGTCCGATTAATTGAAAATATTGTTTTTTTTATTGTAGACCGTTCGCCCACTCCTCACGTTTGGATCCCTTGGAATATGAGCTGGCAGCTGCAGATATAGGCTCTGTGAATTGGCAAGAGCGATGCTTAGAACTTCAGCTCGAATTACACAGGAGTAGGCACCAGGCGACGCGGGTACGGGACATGTTGAGAGATAAGGTGAGTCAACATATTTAAATATATATCTTTAATGTTTTATGTGCAATTGCACATACATATCTACATATGAAAAGACGTACGTGAAACGCTTCTCATCGCAAAGATATATGAAGTATACTATAAAAAACTGTCCTAAGTAAATCGCTATAATAATTTCCTGTTAGATTAGATTTATTGACATTTCGTTTTGAAATAAACTCGAAATTGCCTATAGCAATATAACCTACTAGCGACTCACCCTCGCTTCGCTCGGGTTCGTCGGGACGAAGCTTGCTAGCTTCCCAATACAAACTTTCATCCCCCTTTCCACCCGTTAAGGGAAGATTTCCGGGATAAAAATTATCCTATGTCCTTCCCAGGGTCTCAAATTATCTTCTTACCAAATTTCACCTAAATCGGTTATGTAGATTCAGAGATTACCTCCCTACAACGTCACAAACTCACAAACTTTACCTCTCTATAATATTAGTATTGATGTATACGTTTAATTTACGTGGCGCCATTTGTGACAAAAATTCGAAGTAAGACTATTTTTTCCATTCTTTAGAGAACCTCGTTTTTTCTACAAGTCTGCTACAAATCAAATCAAAATATTTTTTTCAGCATTAAATTATTACAATTTTTTACTGAACGTCATGAGTCTACTACCAGTTCGGAAAGAAGAAGCCTCAGACCTGAGAAGAACTGGCGAAAGAAACTCAGCGGGACTAATATTGACTTGTTATCTTTTTATCTTTTTTGAAATGAAATGGGGTATATCTAACATCAAGCTATATTTCAATAGAAAAATAGATAGTTTGTTACCTTAATGCTTCAAAATTTGCAGTAAAAACCATCCACAAAAAGCCGGCAAATATAAATATGCTGCATATAATTTGCAAAAGCTCGCAACAAATTAAATCGGCTCATTAAGACCGCAAAGTAATTAATAAAAACAGTTATCGCTTAGCGTTTATTAAATTGCCCAATTTTAATTTTAATTGTTCATATTGGTGCATTAACTGATGCACTAATTTATCATTGGTTTCATAACGCATAACGCATAGTTAGCATACTATATAATTAAGTAGAGGTGAAACAAATTTCACCTCTACTTAATTATATAATATACTAACTATATTTGACTTAATTTCACATATAATTTGCCTAGCCTATATGCTTATATTTCCAGTTCGTTTATTCCAGTTAATATTTCTTATGGCATTACGGTAAAAAGATCCAAGATTCATTTAAAAGATAGGAATTGATCAACAAACAATTTTTGACGTCCTCGAGAGTGGAAGCTATAAGTTTTTGCCATAAACGTAATTCTATCAAACTTTAGTTGCGTGGAAAAGATTCACTTTATCCCTTATAGATTGATATCGGCTATTTGACATCGTAAATATCAATATTTAGGTCAAACGTGAAACTCTATTTTGTGCTGTTAGAGCCTTTACTTATAACCAAAATTATGTATTTCGCCATAATAGAATATAAAAACTATTATACTTTACTGAGGGTATACATATTTTGTAATGTAACAAATAGTAATCAAATTTCTAAAAAGAAAAGTAGGAATGGCATTCATACATAATATGCATATGTAACATACGAGTATATAAAATTGTATATTATGTAGAAATGAAAAAAAAATAGTATTATAATAAAAACTTATGCTAGTTTGTGAGCAGCTCTAACTTGTAAAGAATGGAAAATTCTGAAAATTAATTAAGTAATACAGCTTCCAAAATGTTCATACATATTTCATTTTTGTGAGCTAAAATATAAACTACAAATGTTTAGTGGTGCCCAATTCTCGGTGCGCGAGCCAGACTGATCCTCTTATAATCTCATATATAACATCCTCTTGTGATTATAACCACTTCTTTTATATCTAAAGGAATAGAAAAATATAGTAGGTATTTCGAACTATTATTAACTAAATTATAAATAGGTCGCTTTAAAAAATATATATTTGTTAAATTGATATGTATATTGTATTTATTCAGTCCTTTTTAACGTCCCACTGCTGGGCACGGGCCGCCGTTCAATACGAAGGAGGTCAGGCCATGGACTATGGTTGACCACGCTGGTTAAGTGCGGGTTGGCGGGCTTCACATTTCTTTTGATAACTTGTTAGGTTATCTCAGACATGCAGGTTTCCTCACGATGTTTTCCTTTACCGTGAAACAAGTGGTAATCATATAAAATAAAACTATCTTTTCGTATTATTTCGCGAATTTATTTTGATTTTTGGTTCCTGACGTTTCGAATGCTTTACAGCAATCATAATCACGGGAGAGACTAAGGTTATAGACGTCTCAAAGGCGAGTTACGTACTTGTTACGAGTTAGGCAGTTTTATTTAAAATGTCAAATATTCGCGTAAATCTAAGAGAGTATTAAGTGGTAATCATGTTGAAAATGATTCGCACATGAAAATATCAGAGGTGCGAGACCCGGGATTTGAACCCGCTTCACTCGGTTACCCAAGCGAGCGCGTCGCTACTGGGCTACCACTGCCTCATATATGCCTCTGCCTCTTATGATATAGTTAAAAGATAAAGAAAAATATATTAAATTATATATTTTAACTTTCTTGAACTATATTTAGTTATATCATACAATATTAGTATTCTATTAGCGACAGTGATTGTAGAATGATACGTTACGTAGTGCCACAGGTAATTTAAAAGTAAAAGCTTTAATCAAATATCAAATTGTAAGATAAAAGCTTTAAAGCACGCGTTTAAATTTTATAGCATTGGCAACCTCAGCTAAAATCCAGAAGTTAGCCGCGAAGCCGTCATCTGTTCTTTATAGCTTGGGGATTTAATTTCGCGTGACATTATTCACGTTGCCGGTAAGTTTTTGCGTTTCGAAATAACGCGGAAAAGAGTTTATGATAGATGTCTGATCCATTTTTCATTACGTCCTGCGGAAACTCAACGTTGGTGGATTTAGAAATCGCATATACTTAGCTGTTTCAGGGTAGATAATGTTGGAAGATTTTATACGAGCTTATGTTCACGGCTTTTCTCGTTTTTAACCAGTGCAGGGCTCAGAAACCCGTTCAATTTTTAAACCGGTCTTGGTCATTGGCCCCAAACCTTTTCGGTTTAAGGTTTTGGTTACGTCCTTTAACCGGTTAAAACACCGAGAACGGTTTTTGACGAATTTAGGTACCATGATCGAAATTAACTGGATAAAATGAGTCTGTGTGTTTACACTACGTGAATCTTTGCTAATAGTGAACTGCGTAGTAGAAGGATATATGAACGAACGAAGAAAGAACCGGTTTATTTCGGTATCAAAACCGAAGTCTAACGTTTCTCTAAGAATAACCGTTAAGCATTATTATTTCGGATTACTTAACTGGTCCTTTTTATTAACCGGTTAAAGAACGAACGATGAATTAACCAAATTACATTACCGAAATACTGTTATTTTAAACCGGTTCCAAGCTTTGTTTTTAACAACGATATAAAATGTCTATCGTCCAAATACTCGAACCGTAAGTAAAATGTCGGTCTATATATACGAGTAAAACATATTATAAATTCCTTGTCCTAAATCCTCGCTATATGGGGTCGGCATAACATGTTTCTTTTATTTTCCTCTGCCATCCGTCATCTCAGCCCACGCACTGTTCACAGAGACATACATATCTTCTTCAACACTGTCGATTCAAATCTTCTTCGGTCTACCTCTACTTCTATATGAAATGTTACAAATTATTTGTATAATTTATTTATTCATTTTCCAATTATGTTATCTAGAAAGATGGTAGTGTTCATATGAAGCGTGAAACGAATCTTGTAAGTGGCATCCCTAAAGTCATCTCCTTCGCTCCATTAGTGCATGGCCAACGACTCATATGCTAACGTACGTAAAATGTATCGAGTCTAGCAAATATCGTATGGAAATGTCCTATTAAAGTCAACCTTCTAGAAGAATCAGATATGTAGGTAATTCGGATTTAAAGCTTTCGCTTGAGAGCTTTAAAAAATAGGCGGTTGACTATTTTTTATTATTATTTTAATTTAAATTACAATGTCAGTAACAAGATAGCTAAATGTGTATAGAAATTAAATAATTTACATTACTAATTCGCGATTTAAGCAAACTTTTTGATTACAAAGTGTATGTAATTTGTAGAATCCCGTAACGATTTGGTCTCATCGACCAAATTTGATGATTAAATGTTGAATTTCACTATATTTTAGTTGTAATGATTTGGTAATTCGCGGAATTAAAGCTCATTAAATTTTTGATTTAATTAAGTTATGTCATTCAAAGATAAAGAGTCGAAGAGGCACATTAATTAATTTTAGAAAACCTAAAAAAAAAGTTTTTTTTTTAATTTTTTATAATGTATGTAGTTATATATATTGCATGAATATATTTCTTTTGTAGAAATCGAAATAACGATAAAATAGCATGAAATCAAGAATGGCTGGAAAAGCTACACTTGGTCTTTCTATCACTACAAGATAGTAAAAAACGTAATGTCACTTTTTGAGATTTTACAAAAAGAATGAATAGCGTTTTTCGTAAACTCACTAAATCTATAAATAATTTAATATTATTTTATAATTAATTATTATATGAAAAATGTGGAAATAGAATGTAAAAATAGATTTTCCTTAGCAATAGAAAAAAAAAACAGCTATTGACAGGCAAAAGTAGAAATCATTAGGAAAGGAATTGACGATTCGACAATGGATTTGTAAGTATCGGGACGGCGAAAGTTTTAATTAAGCGGAGTGGATCGTTTGGGGTCATTTATAAAGTTTAGCGACTGTCAACATTGTAGTGTACAATTTGCTTGCAAGTAACCGTCGGGGAATCGTTTTATATCGAAATGCGGAGATTTTATTGCACATTGCAATATTTTTAGCGCATATCATTTAGGTGACATTTTTTAACCGACGTCCAAAAAGGAGGAGGTTCTAAATTCGTCGGAATCTTGTTTTTTTATGTATGTTCACCGATTACTCAAAGACGCCCGAATCGAATTGGAAAATTATTTTTTGTTTTAAAGGGTGTACTTTCTAGGTGGTCCCATATAAATTATATGGAAATCGGTCGAGCGGTTTTTTAAAAAATGAACGATAAATATATTTTTTTTAAATAAATTGTTTAATCGAATATGTTATTAAAAACTTTCTTCTTACAAATTACCTGCTTATTACGTCTATACCAAAAATGGAAAAAAAATATTAAGTTTTTATTATGTAATATGTAGACATTCATTGCTAACGTGACTTTATCTTAGATTAATTTTTATTAAAAACTCTCCCGTGAGACTTAAAATGCCGTCTACTTTGTGCGGCTTCTCATAATTTCGACAAAACATATAAATTGTAGATACTAGTTGCGACTGTTGCGACTTGATACAAAGTACATAAATAGTATAATATGTATGTATAATGTATATATAAACGCCCAGCTATATCTTTTGGCAAACTTTATTTCTACATAATATGTATATATACAATGACTGAATTGAATTTATTAAAATTATGATGCATTTAGATAACTTGCAAACGCGCTAATAAAATTATAAAATACGTAAAAGTGATTCATTTTATTTTAAAATTCAAACATGTAGTTGTAAAATTTACATGAATAAAAAATAAAGACGGGGAGACACATGAAAAATATTAGCAAAATTTATCTTATCCGGTTGAAAGTCAAAACTACTAAAAATTCAGAGACAAAAGTGATAATTTACTTTTGGACGCCAGTAACTGCCATGTTCCTAAATCATACATCTTCGTAGTGGATATTTATCTTCTCGGTTGCTGTTACGTTTAGTGTTGCCAGAGAATTCATTGAAAGTGTGGAAATTTAATTCATTTTGTGGAACGTTATTTCTTTGTTTATAGTTTTGTTTCATAATAATAATAATAATAACTAGCAAGAAAAACTAAAAAATAATACAAAAACACTCGTTATAGAATAGAATATAGAATATATCTTTATTGACACAATTCTTTGATGTTACATAAGCCTGTTGAAGCCTCTGACTCTCAAACTAGAATTAACCTGTATATCAGGAGTCAGCGCCCTCTTCGATCTTTAATCATAATTGGAGGTCAATAATATTACAAAGCATGTTTAACAGTAATAATAATTTTAGAATTTGTTTGTGAAAGAAGAAAATAAAAAAAATAATTATCAAGAGTATTTACCAAGTTAAAATAAGCTAAGCGAGGAAAATTTTAAGGAATTCATTGAGAAGATCAACTATGCATCTTATAGGCCCTCTCATTAGTTCTGCTCGATGGTACAATTGTAGTATTGTCGTCCATTTACACTTGATATAGGTAAAAATAAGAGCATGTACTCTCGACACAGGTATTTTTACACTTACTAGAAGTTATCGGCAATATGTCACCTTTTAAGCGAAATAAACTTATTGTAAGACTTCTTATTTTTCTTAATGATGGTCTTAGAAAGTGCAAGAAGATAGATTAATATTTTTTAAAGATATTACCTCATTTAGCCCTTATGATAACTAAAATAATTGAACCCACTGTCTCTACTTTATACTTATTAATGTATAACGATTTCCATTTTCTTTGACAGTACTATAAATCAAACTTACAAAACTTTTATTTCATAGCTAAATAAAATGCTATACATATTTGTCAAAACTCGTACCCGCTATGTTCTTCCCGTGTGCATTGAATTCGTAGCGCTTTAGCTTTTACAAATCGCACCTTTGAAATTGCACGTGTAACATAGAGTAATATGTTATAGAGAATTTTATATTTTATTTTAGGTAATAATTATTAATTATTTATTAACAAGAAAACTTAAACTTAAAATATGGATTACTAGCACTGTAGTAATCCACGATATTTGCTAGTTCCATTAAATTGCACTCAAACAAAGTAAAAAATTACTTTTACATATTTTTTTTACTTTAATTACTGATTTGGCGGGGGTGAAATATCATGAAGCTGTTCACTATAGAATTTAGAATTTACGTTAAAAGGTTTATACTAAAATATATTTATCTGTTGTACATATTAGTTATATTTTATGTGCATACTTATATGATACGACTCATATTTACTATTTAATATAAAAGTCTTAATACATGTTTTTCTCCTCAAAAGCGTACCTATCGTATTTACAATACGCTGTTAAAGTAATTTAATATCTTTTATGGTGATAAAATAGTTTATGAACTCAATAAAACTTGAGATATGAATATAAAATTTACATTATATTATTATAATACACCATTACTCACAATAATGACTACTATAACTAAAACTATACTAAAAGCATTTGGTGTCAAGATTTTGTGAATATTATATCACTTATTAATTAATATTGTCCTACAGCGAGGACACTTACAACAAATCCCAAAAATCTATCTATCTGCTGTTTTACTCTTTTTTAATCTTACTAATATTATAAACATGAATTCCAGAACGCCTGATCTGGATGGGCAGAGAGATTATAGTCTGGAATAGCGCATAGGCTACTTTTCATCCCGGAAAATGCACTGTTCCCGTGGGATAGATTTGTTATTGTTTTGTTTTCGTTTAACATAAATTATTTGATGATATGAAAACTTCAGATAGATCAGGTATTGTAATCCTTCGTAGAATGTGAAGATGTCTAAAGCGTTACTATTTAATATATTCGTCCCGAGTCTCGATCCTACGTTTTTTTTAAATCATAGTTGGGTACCATTTTATTTTAATAGTTACAAAATGAAGTAATGTAGCAACTTTATACGTATAAGTTAGTAAAAATCGGTTGTTATGATCCAGTAGAATGTTGTGGCTCCAATCCAGTGTTGTGGGACACCCGGTAGGAACGAAGTTCCTTTCTCTGTCCGCCCTTGGCTCATATTTTATTAGCTCATACACATTGACACGAGTACCAGGGTAGCTTAGACGTTTAACAACGTACATTGTATGTACATACTGAAGATAATCGAAGAAAAGCCTGCACAGGTGCACATGAATTTCTTATAACATTTATGATCGCCTGGTACTTTTTTCACGAGTACTAGGGGACCATGAACCTCAAAGAGTGCTTGTATATGTAGAGCCCCGTCAAAGAGTTTGTTCGACCTCCTTAATATTATATTATTAGTAAATAATAAAGCATAACCTTTTTCGTTACGTGACGGTTACTACCAGTCAACTTCTACCGCAAGCCGCGTTAAGTAACTTCATTCCAATTATTTATTCTGTAGCAACATATTCACGTTTTTCTTTCAATTTCATAATTAAAATTAATAAATTTTTGTTGGGTTTTAAATTTTTTCTCTGTATCATCTTTACTCTGTATAAATCTCAAAAGGCCCATACATCACTTTACTACTGGCGTTCTCAGTTCCGATAAATCAATCGTCCCCAAATAGCTTCCAACTATTACAAATATTTTAATCTAAACTCATGACCGACAATAGTATGCTTGTTTGAGATTTGTAACATATAATTATTTATTGTACCAAAAATATAGTATAGTATTCTATATATATATACATATGAACAAGTTTATCTAGTAATTAAAAACATTATCATAATACGACATAATCGTATAAGTAATTATAATTTTATTTAAAAACGTTTGTATGTTTTTGTATATGGCGCGATAATAATAATAATAATGCATCACATACGGCTCAATAGATTCATTGTAGGTACCAAATAGTGGTGTACCGAATATACGTTCCGTATCCGCGGATATCCGACGGAGAAAAAAGATATGTATCCGTATCCGCAACCGTATCCGTCACTTCAGATTGGATCGGCGAATCATCATCGGATCTTTTTTATCATTATATTTCATGAAATGAATGAAATTTGTGTAATTAGCAATGAAACACTTTTAAATATCATTTAAA